CCCGGTGGCGGGGCTGGGGATCCTTGGCAGGCGCCTGTAGAGCACGTCCTTCCTGTGCGATACCCTGCGGGGGCTACTTACTGCATCCAGCCCGGGGCCGGGCGGCGGGGTGCCTCCGCTCTGTGAGGCCCCGTTGTTGGGGCGGAGGGAGAAGTTGCCCGACTGGGAGTCGCTGGGAGTCACCTTGTGTAACGGTCCGGCTACACGGAGGAGTTGTTCAACCCAGGTCACGCCGCTTGCCGACGGTGGGGTGTTGCCTTGAGGAGCTCTGTGTCGGCTCTTACCCTTGGCCTCGGGTGGAAACTCGGTTGTTCTTACGAAGTCAATCGGAAGCCGTATGTTCGCATGGTAGTACCAGTATCTAGCCTTGGCTTGTATTTAAGCCGTGTGTGCCCCCACTGCAGAGAAGGACGAGAATGCTCCTTTTCTCTGCCTTCACAGTTTCAGAAGGGCAGGTGCCTGTGGTTGGTAGTCTGCTCTTCATAGCCAGCGTGACTGTGACTGAAATAATAGCTGGTGTCAGGCTGGGAAGGATTTCAGCTGGGCCAAAGACATTAGAGTGAGTTTATGTGGAAATACCATGTCCACGTGGAGAAAAGTTTGTCTTCCGTATCTGTTTGGTGTTTTTTTTTTAAATGTCTTATAAATTTCTACTTTGCATAACAAGAGGCTGTATTGTAAATGACCATCCAAGGCAGTGACTAGTTTAGCACACATAGCTTTTACTGCAGTATTGGGTTTTTTTTCTGAGTTGAGGTTTTCTCAGGTTTAAAAATCCCTTACTTCAGTAGCTATTTTAGCATAGCTAAATGCTAATTGAATTGGGATTCTTGAGCCATTAACAAAGTGCCATGGTTTTCTTATGATGCCTGCCAGAGGGATTGGTTGTTACTATTTCATAAAACTACTAGCATGTTGTATTCAGAGTTTAAATACCTGGAGTTTGTTTTGCTCAGCGGAACAGATAAGCTAGCCATTAGTCCTTGGAGTCATGTTACCTACAGCTTTTCTCTCATGCTGTAGCTGTGGCAAAGTAAAACGTTAAGGAGCAAACCAAAGTGCCCCAGGTGGTCTTCTGATTGTTGAAACAATTAAAGGACAGCAACCTGATAACACTAATAAGGTTGTTTGTATGAACAGGCTGCTTGTTAGTATACGTATTTATTCTGGTTTTTCTTAATGTTCAAGTGCTGAATACATTTCAGATTTCATAAGGAGAAATTGATGCAGGGTGAATGTTGACCTTTTCTTCTGAAAGAAGATTTATCTTGGAGAAGATAAGTTGGAAGTTTAACATCTCCAGTACAGCTCTGATAGCTGTACAAGAATTAAACTAGGTTTGATACATGGAAATACTTTGATAAGCATATTTGAAATACAGAATAAATAGCAGCTATTCGATGTCAGATGACTTCCTGAACACAAATTACAGTGGGCTAATGCTTTTAGAGTTAGTCGTAGAGTTCCAGGCAGTTAAGATGAAAAAAAAACCTTGATGGTTGGCCATTGTAATGAAAGACGTGATAACTTACAGTGCAGTTTGTCTCTGGACTAACTTAACTAGTGTCGTTCAGTTAGAAAAGGCAAAATTCCAGTTGTGTGAATAGCAAAGTAGGTCTTGCAACACGTAATTTTAACTGTGTAAATACACGGCTCTGGTTTTGATGTCTCCGTTTCGAAAATTAATTTACTGGAAGGTCCAGATGTTGACAAAAATGAAACAATTTTCTGCATACTCCTAGAGTGTTCCATCGTTACACAAGTGCGAGTGCTGAAGACAACACCTAAACTAATAAAACCTCCTCTACCTGGGGTACTTGAAGCCTGCGTTGGTGTTGTATTAGCGTGCTGTGAACTGACTCCACTGACGCGCAGCGTCGGTGTTTCCTGTGTGCTGTCAAACCGTTCTGTAAGTTGTGGTTTGGTACAGATACAGCACAGTTTGATTTTAGAGCATGCCTTCCAAGGAAACATTGATTTTGCTATTTTTTGTATGCAAGGAGAGAACTGTACCCGTTCTGAAAAAGTTGTGAGAAGGAAATGGAGAATTTTGGTTGCTTGCCCTTGTTACTCTACATTCATTTTTCTCTTAATTTCTTAGACCAGTTCTAGATTCTGAGGAGGGTTTATTTCTGAAGCTTCATGAGGTTTGAGGTAAACTGTGCTGCATTTTGGAAGATGGCCTTAGAACTAAGCGTTACTAGAGACATCTGGCAGAGGTCGACCTCCTTTGGCTTGCCATCTTACTTGAATAAAAAGACTGCAGCGTTTTATTTTCCCATGGGGATTTGACACTGAATGTAACCACTGCATGCTCATTTGGAACATTTTCCCCTGAAAAAGCATTTTCAGTTTTGCATAGGTGGTAAAAATATTTCTGTGAGCAGTGGATAGCTGCTTGAGATGGTCATCGAAAGTTTCCTACTCTTCATTTTCTGAGCCCAAAGAAAAATTCTTGGATCTTTGTTACTGCTTTCAGATTAATAAATTATCGCTCTTCACGTGAGGTTTATCCTGTTTATACAGTTGAATAATATTTGATCAAAATGTTCAGATTTTTTTTTCCCTTTTTATATTGTATCAATGTGTTTTGCTGTCTGTCTTGTGGTATGGTGTTACCTGTAAAGACTGCAAAAACAGTTTCTGCTTGTGTGTGACTGATAAGAAAATTTGACATTTTTAATGAAATCACTATAGATTAAAATGCATGGGTATCAATAATAACAAGTTTTGTCTTCTGACTTTGAAGTTGGCAGTCATGTGGGCTATAACCTTTCTTGGCTTTGTGAAAAACCCGTAATGCACACAGGCTCTTTCATGTCTATTTGCTCAGGTTTGAAGTTAGATAACGTTACCAAGGCAAGCATAAGTGCATGGAAAGCTTTGGGTAAAGTAACTTCCCTTAAACGGGTTTTACTTCACTGCCATATCTACTCTGCAAAATTGATAGCCTGTTTAGTGCCTCAGGAAAAGCAGGATCTACATAAGGTGAATTTTTTACTCAAATGTTTTACTGCCATACCCTCACCTCTTGATTTCCTCCAACCTCCTGTGAGAATTGATTTTTCCAGGCCTCCTTTATGCTTCATAAAAGAGCAGAAGCCTACAATTCAGTTTCTAGTGACTCTTAACAACAAGCTTGATTATATAAGGGTATCTGTTCTGTAAAGTAGTGGAGTGATTTATCATGCATAAAACAGATTAGGTGATTTCATAATCTCATCTATGTGGAATCTGTGGGGGGAAAAAAAAAGCCACAAAGTATTTTTCATCTCCTTTTGCACATAACCTTTTAATAGAAGTTCTTCTAAGCCCATGCAAGATACAAGATTTGTGGGCTTTCCTGTTATATATGCTTTCTAGGCCTTCATGTCTATCGGTGAGTTTCCTGCCTGGCTGAGGAATGGTAGTAGCTAAGAGCAGTGTTTGGTTCCATTCCCTTAGATATTGTCTGAAGCCTTCAAACTTACATTTGAAAGGCCTTTCAAACATGCTTGTTTTAGCTGTTTAGGAGGCTATGCTTAGGAGTGGTCAGTTTACATTTAATGAAATTTATCATATAAATGTTCACAGAATCACAAAATCCCTTTCACTAAGACATTATCAGGGTCTCAGCAAAAGTGTTGCCATGGCTTATACTTAGTTAGTTGGGCCTGTTCTCTCTTCTTGTTCTTGGGCAGGCCTGTGCTGGCAGCAGTGCTTCTGCACTTGTGTGCACTTCTCAGGTAGAGGTGGTTCTAAGCTAGCACGCTGCCTGAAAACAGCTGGCTCTCCTGACCCGAGCAGAGGGATGGGACCTGGGAAGTGCAGACTTAGTTGCACAACAGATTTACAGCCTTATGATATAGGTACCTGCACCTGTATTTCATAGTATTAATTTGTAGAATTTAACTGTGAAGTTACTAACTTCCTGGGCACAAATGTACTTATACCCCTTTCTCCTGGGCCTCTAAAGCTGCTGTCTAGTGTGTTCTTATACTTGGAGAATAATTACAAAAATAAGATGATCGGAGGGCTGGAGCACCTCTGCTATGGGGACAGGCTGAGAGAGTTGGGCTTGTTCAGCCTGGAGAAGGCTCCGGGGAGACCTTATTGCAGCCTTCCAGTACCTGAAGGGGCTACAAGGAAGCTGGGGGGGACTTTTTCCAAGGGCCTGTAGTGACAGGACAAGGGGGAATGGGTTTAAATTAAAAGTGGGGAGGTTTAGATTGGATATCAGGAAGAAGTTCTTCACAGGGAGGGTACTGAGACACTGGAACAGGTTGCCCAGGGAAGCTGTGGATGCCCCATCCCTGGAAGTGTTCAAGGCCAGGCTGGATGAGGCTTTGAGCAACCTGGTCTAGTGGAAGGTGTCCCTGCCCATGGCAGGGGGGTTGGAACTAGATGGTCTTTAAGGTCCCTTCCAACCCAAACCATTCTATGGTTCTGTGACAATGCATGATTGTGGTGGGTTTTTTGGCAACTTGACTAAGTAGAGTTTGGTAGGAAAATACTTGGTATGCAACTCTGCTATTACACCATGTGTTTGTAGTTTGGAAAATCTTGCTGCTCATTTTCCAGGAAGTTCTGCATACTCAATCTGTCAACAGATTTCAGGGCTGAAAGTGTTAATCTGGATAGCACTGATTCAGCATTGCATTTGGAGGGGACTTAAAAAACTGCTGAGGTCTGTTATTTCTTAATTCTGACTTTGTAAGGTCTGTTGCAGAAAATTCTAATAATGAGAAATAAATTATTTGCTATGGCACTGGTATTTCTTTTTTGACTGCTATCTTTTTAGAGGGTTTTTATGTAGTTAATATTGCATTTCTTGATTAAAAATAATTTTTAATGTATTTTTAATAGCTCACAGGGGTCCTAGATGATTGTTTATGTGACATAGAAAGCATCGATGACTTCAATACTTTCAAGATCTTCCCCAAAATACAGAAACTTCAAGAACGTGATTACTTCAGATATTACAAGGTACAATTAAAATGGTATTTTCCTGACTAATTTAAATAAAAACCAGAAAATATAAGGAGGATTACATATCAAATCAACCTGTCTGTATTAAGTTGTCTTTTAGAAGCCCACAGCTCTTTAACTTGGTTGTAGCATGTTTTCAGTCCTGACAGTGATGTTGGTAAGAAGTCATGTTTGCTGTGTTAATCCTGGAGTTAGTGACAGTACATCATAACTGCTTTCATTCAACTTAAAAGTGGTAATTTTAAAGGTCGTATCTTTGTACTGCTGCATCTAGGAAAGGATTGTATATTAGCAACTTTCTGACAGTGTGCAGTACTTGTCTACTAAGAAATGTGTGTAATTTGAAATGGAAATACTGCTATGACTTCCTTCTTTATGAGTTGCTGTCTTAGTTCTGATTTTACTATTTACTCTTTAGAGAACTGTTATGCCTTTGAAAAATAGGTTAAAATACTCAATTTTCAAATGGTATGTAATACCACTTTTTTATGACTTTAAACATCGTTTTTTCTTTGTATTAGAATCTGATGAGCAAAATAAGACTTTGAAACCTGATACTTCTATTTTCAGATACGCTTAACTTGAAAATGAGGTTGCATTTTGACTGAGCTAATCAGATGGTTGCCTGCCACTGGGAAAAGGAGTCTACAGTCCTTTAGGGCAGACTGTCCTGCCTCTTCCCTACCTGCTTTTAGCTCTTGGGTTTGTCTGACTGTGCATTAGGCCAATGCATCTCTTTAACCTGGTGGATTTTTAATTTGGTGTTGGTCTAGTCCGAGCAAGCAGTAATGTGTAACTTCACCCTGAATCTTCTGCTACATGATACAGTTCTAACGTCACTTTTCCAAAGAAACAAGATATGTGCAACTTCGGTGATAATACATCACATAGTAGTAGTAATTAGATTATCCAGAGGCAACAGGAATATACAAAACAAAGCATTCAAAGAAGAGGAGCAACAGGTGTATAGGGTTTTATACAACAGTAATTTCATCCTGCAAATTTAGAGCTAGTCTTCATTTCAACAGCTGTTCTGCTGCTTGTACTTTAATGGTGTGTGGCAGTCCAACCTCATCTTTCATACTGATCTTCCTAATAGATGGGCAGTTAGAAGGGCCAGTGTTCAGTCCACCCATCACTGCACTGGAAATTAGTATTTCCAGTTGTGACTGGGAAGAATTTGTGTTGAACAAGCAAACTGAATAAGTCAGAATGATTTTTACCCTCTCCTCTCTTAATAAGCAACAGAATTTTTATTTATGCCCCTGCACAAATTCATGGAAGCAGATGTGGAAAGCATGTGGATGGATGTAGAAATTGTGAGGGTAGGCAGTGATCATCTAGGTCAACTACAGTGTAGCTAAATACTGAATAAGTGCATGGGGAGTGTACTTGTTCCAGGAGTGAAAATGCTCCTACTCTGAAGTAATTTAATTTTCAATAAGAGTTTGGATCATCATCTTTTGTAACTGTAGTCACAGTATTCCTATTGTGTTACTAGTTGGTGGGAAGGGCATGGTTTATGCAATATGTCTTATTGTGAAGGTGAGGTAAAATGTAAAATTGTTTGCCCTCAACATCAGAAGGATATCAACCAGTTGGAGCGAGTCCAGAGGAGGCCACGGAGATGATGGGCTGGAGCACCTCTGCTATGGGGACAGGATGGGAGAATTGGGCTTGTTCAGCCTGGAGAAGAGAAGGCTCCGGGGAGACCTTATTGCAGCCTTCCAGTACCTGAAGGGGCTACAAGGAAGCTGGGGGGGACTTTTTCCAAGGGCCTGTAGTGACAGGACAAGGGGTAACGGGTTTAAATTGAAAGTGGGGAGGTTTAGATTGGATAACAGGAAGAAGCTCTTCCCAGAGAGGGTGGAGAGGCACTGGAACAGGTTGCCCAGAGAAGCTGGAGATGCCCCATCCCTGGAAGTGTTCAAGGCCAGGCTGGATGAGGCTTTGAGCAACCTGGTCTAGTGGAAGGGGTCCCTGCCCATGGCAGGGGGGTTGGAACTAGATGGTCTTTAAGGTTCCTTCCAACCCAAACCATTCCGTGATTCTGTAACACGTTTTTGTGCTTTATTTAGAAAAAAGGTAAGTGAGCATGTACAAAAAGTTCTAAAATATTACGTGGGTTTTTTTTTTTTTTTTGAGGGATGTTGTTTGTGGATTGAGTAGGGGAAATGGATTGAAAAAGCAACCTAAAATATCTGGTTTTAATGTGTCTGGGCTAGCATGGCTTGAACTCTAACTATAGGATAGTTGCCATTCCTCGTAAGAAGTCAGACTATCTGCTTAATGTCTTGTTAGTTTTTGTTTTGACTGAGCAATCTCTAACATTTCAAAGCTGAATTTATAATTCCCACTCATGCTGAATAACTACATCAAAATGGAAACCTGGAAAATAGTCTCTCCTTCAGATGTTGTATAGCAGTTAACTTTGAATTTTGTGTTTTGAAAATACAGAACGAACTTACTTTTGAAAGGTTTGGTAGAGGAATTTAGTATAATAAAGGGCAGTTGACTAAGTCAAACATTGTTTTGCTCTTGGAGGATCTTTTGCGGTATTGCAGAACATTTGAAGAAGGATTTCTTTTTGTTTTGCTTTAATTTGGGTACATAGTGCTACAGAAGAATTTATCCTTAGGCTTAAAGGGGGCTTCTTTATTTCTGGTACATAGTTACGATTTCTCTTAGCTGTCAAAATTAAGAGAAAGACTGGAAAGTAAAATCTGGCTATAATTCATCTGGGATTCTTCATACTGTGCCTGCTTTGTATCAGAGGCATATTGATCTAGTGTCCTTATGCTTAGTATATTAGGCATAATGCTGGGGAAAAAATTGAATTTCCTTCACTTTTTCATTGCTGAGACTCTGGTTGGGCCTCTATTACTGTATTCCCCCAAAAGCCAGTCCACTTAAAAGCAAATCACCGATCCAGTATAAATGTACTTGCCAGTTAAATGTGTTGAAAGCATAAAGTTGTGGGATTTTTTTCATGGAATAGTTGTTCAAGAGGGTTCAGTGATTTCCAGATGAAAAGATTGAGTAGTCTGTTTCTTACATTGTAGCAGGGACCCTTCAGCCGCTACATGCGGTAGACTTCCAAGTGCAGCAGAGCATGGGATTGAGTTCAGTTGCCAGTTCTTTCCCTCAGGGGCTGCTCTGGCGCTACTGTACTAAATGTTTACGCTTTGTTTCCTGTCCATGTTTCTCCTTATGTAAAGTGAGATTATAGGATATAAATTACATGAATTATAAAGGTGTTCCTGCATAGAGGGGGAAAACGTGTTTTTCTGAAGACTACACTGGTGAAGTGTTTAGTCTCAATCTTTTAACCCATTAGGTACAGCAATAATACTGTTCTTTGCAGTGTGTGACAATTGACTGTACAGCTTGTAGACACTTTTTTTTCCATAAGGTAACATAAGGATTAGTTTTCTGATTTAAGATTTATAGATTTAAATAATGTTTATAAGTACATTTATAATTCTTAAATTCTTGTGTTGAAATGATGCCATGCTTGGGCTATTAGGCTTAATTCTACAGTGCATTTTATAGAACTTTTGCTGTGTTCTGACTACAGAACCAAATTCAGTATCTGCAGCAGTTTCAAATAAGAAGTGACACATCAACTCATTCAAGATGTAGTTTGTTGGAAATAAGTAGTGACTTCAGTTGAATATCTTCATGAATAGTATTTATCAGCTGAAGAAAAGCAGTACAAGTTTGCTAAAGGAAAAAAAGTAATAGAAGTAATTTTTGTTTTGTGGGGGTTATTTTGCCTTTGAAGTTTTAAAACTGACTTTTTATCTGGAAAATGGTTGCTACTGGGGATAAAGGCTTTGTATGTTATTTGTGATGTTAGATTTCAAAGATGGTGTACTTCTGTAGTGTTTCTGGTTGATAGTGCAGGGGAACCTTTAGTCTGTAGTCTTCAGTTTAGGAGTGATGAGGTCAAAGTGGTTTTTATCACTAGTATTTGTCAGTATGTATAAGGTGAATGTGAAGGAAAGCTGGGGTTTGTGGTTTGTTTGTTTGTTGTGGTTTGTTTGGTTTGGGTTTTTTTTTTCCCTCTTTACTGACTTAGAATCACAGAGGGGTTTGGGCTGGAAGGGACCTTAAAGACCATCCAGTTCCAACCCCCCTGCCATGGGCAGGGACACCTTCCACTAGACCAGGTTGCTCGAAGCCTCATCCAGCCTGGCCTTGAACACTTCCAGGGATGGGGCATCCACAGCTTCTCTGGGCAACCTGTTCCAGTGCTTCACATTGACAGTCCAAGTGAAGTATAGTAAAGTATTTGAATCTCTTGCCATGTAGTATATACTAATACATGGCGTACTCCCTGCCTTTATTGTGCCATTTGGTGACAAACAGGAGCACTAATCCTCAGAGGATTTTTTGGTAAAGTTTCTGAAGTGCTTTCTCTTCATTACTTATATTTGTACTGTATCAACTCTCTAATATGAGACCATTATGATACTCATTCTTCCTTGACTAGCTACAATGTGCAGTAATGATTGTCTCTTTTTACTCCTTGAAATCAGCCAAGCACATATTTCAGTTAGTAAATTTGTGTACTAGTCTGTCTTCCATCAAATGTATTTTCTTCATCAGTAGTACAGCTACAACTGATGGCAAATACAACCATCTTAGAGCTGCACATCTGGTCTGCCTTCTTCTTAGTAGTTTATTTTAGTTATATTAGTGGTGAGAGATTTAATTTGTGCTTTAATATACCATGTGTTTGTGTCCACTGGAGACCATTATCACTAACGATTCCACTGCAGCAAGCTTCAGCTGCTATACTCAGAAGGAGAGTAGGTAAAAGAAACCATCCGATCAAACCTTCACAAAACCCCCCAGACTTGAAGTACTAACTTTAACCCCTTTTCCTTGTATCCTCTCCTTTCATTTGGAAGGATTTCCTGATACTGAGAGGCCTTTCTTTTAAGGTTGCCCTGTGTAAGTGTGGATTGTAAACTTCTGGTTTTGTATGTTTAGGTCAACCTGAAGAGACCGTGCCCATTTTGGGCTGATGATGGCCATTGTTCTATCAAAGATTGTCACGTAGAGCCTTGTCCTGAGGTATGGATCAAATAATATAAGATAGAAAAAGGTTATTTGGTTTAAAAGTTTGCTTATTTGCAGTGACTGATAGTATACTAACAGTATTTACTAATGAGAACTTGAATAAAAGTGTGATGATAAAATTATTTTCCATTTCAAAATCAGAAATACAACCAAAGTATTTTAATGTCTTATTTCACCAATAAAACAAATGAGTTAGTTTCTTCTAAGCTCTAGCACTGTTTTGGGTATAACATGTTGAGATGGCAAAGGAGCAAGTTAATTATTTAAAAGCAAGTTTGCTTTCATTTCTACAACTGGTGTAAAAACTGTGGTTTACTTTTGTCTTTAGAGCAAAATACCTGTTGGAATTAAGGCTGGGAGCTCTAATAAAGTAAGTAGTCATTTATTTTCTACGTTCTTTCTGATTTTTCTTTTAAATCTTAACATTACATTAGCTGTGTGACTTTTTATTACAATCCTTCAGTCTTGGCATAGTGATGAAATTGTTAACATGACTGATCGGTTTCTGTATGTGGCTTTGCATTTTTACTTTTATGTATAAAAGCGTTTCTGTCAGCTGGTACTGTCAGGTCATTCTGAGTCTGTCGTAGCTTGAGAGCAGGTGCAGACTGAATCAGCACATGATCAGGGACAGCAGTACATGGCCACAGAATGCCTGATGCAGAAATTTCTGAGTACAGGCCACCTTCTGTAAAGCCGTAGAGTAAGATGCACAGATGCAGGAGCAGTTCAGTCTTTTTGTAAGAATCATATATAGTCACAGCCTCTAATAATTAAAGAACCTGAATGACTACATGTAGTTTTGCCATGTGTAATCTAGAGCAGGTCGTTAGTCTAAAGATGATTTGGTCATTAGTCTAAAGACAATTTAGGCTAAAGTGCTCAGTGCAAGCAAGTAGTCAGTCTGTGCTGTTGGCTTTTCCTTGCTTCTCTCCAAGCCATCCTTCCTAGGTCACTAAATGATCTTAGCAAAGCCAAAAAGGTGAAGAGGGTATATCTGCCTTGAAGGGCAGTCAGAGCAGAAAGACAGACAATCCTCCCCCGGCCTCCAAATCCCAAACACAGAGCACAGAATAAGGATTTTAGCAGTTGATGGGGTGATGGTGCCCAAACGAGATCTTCCTGTTGAGTGCCTTGGCTGTGTTGTAGACTTACACTTACCCTGGATGAGCCACCGTATGACCATCTTCCCCGGTACTTGCCACCTTGCTGGGCAGCCATAGTTGCTGCTTGCATCACCTGAGTGTAGTTCACCTTATAAGTGGCCATTGGGATTAGGTTGAGACTTTATGCCAAGAAAGGTTATCAGAGATAGCTAAAAGGAATACTTCATTGTGAATTGATGACTTCTGTGTCATTACGTCATGAACAGTGCAGGCAAGTTGTGTTGGTTGTGCAAATTGTGCTGTCCAAACTTCAGCTCAAGAGGAAGTCTCATCTCCTGTTTTATTCATATGTTCTTAAGCTCAGTCTGAAGTGAAGTGTGCCTCTTCATTTAAAGGTTTCGGGTGATCAGAGAAGAAACATCTTTCTCACTGACATGACTTAACTGTCAATCATTTACCATTTCAGCACAAGTAGCAGTAGTTGTTTTGAGAAAACTTTGGCATTTGCTCTGGATAGAAGATCTTGAGTTTCAGCTGGATAATGTGTTGCCAGGTCTCTTTTTCATTGTCTCTGTTCTGTTCCGAGCATGATCGTAGAGAAACTGACTCCTGGAATACCGTAATGACTCCTAAACAGGCATTTTAAGATTTTTTAAAGTCTGCTTTAGTACGGGTTGTTCTAGTAGGCATTTGAGCTTCCTCACTGATTAATCTTGAGAGCCGTAAGGTGCTAATTAGCAGCCAAAGAGTATGTTGTTCTTAAGATACTTCACATGAGCATATTGAATTGGACTTTGGAAGTGAAAAATCAGCCACCTTTTGCTTTCACCACATTAAAGAAACCAGGATGTAATTTGCTGATGTCTTTGTGACAGTTGATTGTTTTGAATTGTCTTGTAGGTTGTTGCAACCAGCTACAGTACTGAAAGTTGGGCGATTCTCCACCTTTAGTCTATAGTAGAGCAGAGACACATTTTTCTGCAGGAAGATTGTTACCAGGACTGACGTAAATCTTGCCTACACCGTTTTCTTACTTATGATTCAGTTAAAGATTTTCTTGGAGCCAAGTAAAAATTGACCATCTCATTTAACATCCCTTATAAAGAAACCTCACACTCTTCTTAGTAGGAATGCTTTGTTCCAGGGACTGTGCAAGTACTGTGTTATTAGCCTGTGTGTGCTTGGTCCGTTTGGGAAAGTCATGCACCTTGTGCATTAACCTTAAAGTGTGGTTGGTTTGCGTGTGTGTTGCTTTTTTGGTTTTGGGGTGTGTGGTGGTGGTGTTTTTTTTTTTTTTTTTAAAAAAAAGGTGTGTTTTCCTCTGGGAACGTAACACATCCAGTTTTATTCTTTCATCGCAATAGTTTTTGCCTTGGAAAGGTGAAAACGATCAAAGGCGTCTTTTTAATAATGAGAGCTACGATCTCTTGTGTGGATGCACTCAGGGTAGAATCCTGTGGAGAAGGTGTGATCAGAGTGTTTGGCTTTTGTCCATTTTCCTATTGCCCTTCTTTCCTAATGTAGATGAACTTGTAAACTTCCAGGCTTCCGTGGGGGATTTTTTTTGTTTGTTTGTTTGCTGAACCACGGAGAGAACAGTTCTTCTTTTGAAAGCTCATCTAGCCACAAAGACCAGGGTCACACTTGCCCAGCTTCCACGCAGAAGTGCAGTTAGCAGCGGCACCAACATAAGCTTCTTGAAATGGTGCTGGAGAGGCACGAAGTAGTTTCCCTTTCTATGGCGCTGTCTCATTTGAGTGGTGAACATATTTTGGGGGGCTAGACATTAAAGAGCTGTCATGGCAGTTGCTGTATTAATCTTGGATGCAGGAACTCAAGGTTACACCATTTAACTTAATATTTTACTTCCTGCCCACCTCTTCTCTGTTTTCTTCCAGAAACTGCTCTGAAGAGATCCTGCCTTGCAGCAACAGATACTTTGTCCTGATGTAGTCGGTGCTTACAGAGCACTGATCTGATAGGTGTTGCCAGTAAACGCTGGGGAATAGCGAAGCCTGGAAGCATGTTTTGAGGCTTGAGTGTTCATTCTGTTTGAAACCTTAAATTTAGGATTATATTCTTGGCAGTAATTTTTTTTCACTTCAGGGTAGGGATTGGTTTGCAGCTCTAGACATGCAGAGTGTTTTACTCAGCATCTTGTTACATTACTTCAGCAGCAGTATCTGTTTCATTCTAGGTCAGATCCATTCCTTGTTCAGATTTTTCCATTTAACGTCTGTGTGATGCTAAAGAATGAGATGCTCTTCGCATCCCCCTGCTCCCCCCGGCAAATCCAAGAAAACTTAGTGAGAAGTTCCTCCTAGAGTAAATATTTGTTAGGGGCCAGGCCCCTGACAAAAAGGTTTAAATTATTTTGGGTTTTTTTGTCTCCGTCCCTTTGGTCTTCAGTAGGTTCTGCTGTTTTCCCTTGTACTGGTTCTGGCAAATGCATTTTGAAAGCAAGTCTGTCTTGCTTATTTACTCATCTGAGCAGTTGGAATGAAATCCTTTGTTTTTTGAGAAGTACGGTGGTATGTATTGTGGTGGTCCTTTCCCTCTGGCATCTTGACCACAAGTCTGTCCTCAGAAATGGAACTATTCTTTCTTTTAAAATGCATCACATTATTATTGTTGTTTGCTTTCTGAAGTGTTGACCCAAGCCTTTAGCTTATGGTTTTATTTTGAGCTGGTTCTGGATAGTAGTCCTTCATGTCACTATGTTTGTCCCCTGAAGTGAAGGGAAGCCAGCAGTTTAGCTTTATATAAGCTCTCAGTTACTTAACATTAAATCATTTTCTGTATTTCTTAAGGGCTGTGACAAGGCAGAAATCTCTGTAAACCTCAGGGCCCAGTCTGCAAAAGAAAACATACACGCACAAAAAAACCCCAGCCCAAAACCCCCCAGAAAGAGGAAATTGGGTTTGTTTATCTTGTAAAAGAGCACTGATACTATCTATTATGTTCCAAAATCGTTAGAAGGGGGTTTTGAGATTTAAACTTGACAGACTTAACAAATTTCCTGCTTACATAACCATGTTATTGTAGAGTAGTGGAATTTAATTCTTCAAATGTTTTCCTTAAAAGTTTTCTAATAGTAAGTCTATTTTAGTGGATTACTTTTTTTTTAATACTGTAGAATCAAAATTCAGCTTAAATACTTCAGTTTTAGCGTTAAAATAATCAAAACTTTAGGTCAGCTTGAAAAGCCTCTCCTCCAGACCTGTGCACGTCTAAAGCGTGCCAGTATGAATAGGATTAAGTGAAACATGAGGGGAAAATGGCCAAAATGCATTTTCCTACAGAAATGACCAATGCAACTTGGGGTATGATTATGCTTGCAAAATACAAGGTGTGTTTGTAGGTCTGACATTGCTTGTCTTCCAAGTTGTGGTTGGGTTTGGTTTTTTTTTTTTATAAGAATGTAAATAAGTATCTGAAACACTTTAGAATTCCATTTAATCTAAACAAACAAAAAAGGCAAAACAAACAAAATTGTCGTTTTAGCTGAGTTTTCTGTGGTAGTTAACACCCCAGAGTGAAATTGCCATGATGAAATTAAGTGAAGAAAGATAGAAATAAGAAAAGTTCCAGAATTACTTACTGCTTCTGAAGGTTTTCCCTGATACTAGCCAATTCACTGCTAAACCTAGAAATACCTTTCATGCACCTTTCTCAGGGAATTTTAGGTAATTGATTTGTATATTAAATATGTACTTTTCTTACAGTATTCAAAAGCAGCAAATAATTCCAAAGAATTGGAAGACTGTGAGCAAGCTAACAAACTGGGAGCTGTTAACAGTACCTTAAGGTAGGCTGTGATTTACTGTAGTGCAAAACCAGTAACTAAGGAGCATTTCATTTTGTCTGTCTTGGTTTTGGAACGTGCTGGTGGTTGTTCTTCATGTTTTCCATAGCCCATTAGAAATGTAATGTGAAATGATGCAGGAACATCTGAAGGTAAAGGTGTTAAGTGATGTGTAGACTGACTTCTTTTGGTTGGGGTTTTTTTCAAAGTAGGCTTCGATATTATTTGAAAGAGGTGTCTTACAGCACCAAGAGTTGGAGGAAACTGGGAAATAAACCTGCCTTTTTTCTGCTTTGTACCAGTATCAGTCTTTGTACTTGATGACTGTGCTGGATTAAGGGATTCTGCCCTGCCCTGTCCCTGTTACACTGATGTGCCCATTTATGATCATTCAGAGGACCAGATCAGGGAGACTGTGAGTTCCTGTTGTTGTTGGCAAAGTTATTTTTAGCTCGGATCAATTCCCTGATCTTGCTTATTGCTTGGCACAGTCCAGGTTGGCTGGGAGGAATTCTGCAGGATAGTGTTGCCCCTGAGTAGGAAAGTGCATGGAACATCACCTAGAAAACTTGCATTCTACTCAGTTCCCCATCTTTAAAAAGTGTAAACAGAACAATCAACTCTTGACCATTGATGGAGGGGGGCGATGTCTTTGGCCCCAGATTTCAGCAGTTTTGCCTGGTAGAGATGTGGGATCTCTTGCCTGTCATCTGACAAAAGGGACTGCCATGACAAAGTGATGGCTCTACCTGGTGTGCTGCATTTTAAGCCAAACTGGGTAGAGCCCTTATCCAAGGTTTAGGGGAAGTAAGAAACTATTAACCCTTCCACTCCTGTAGGTCAAAAGAAAATGAAATGGAGTACACATATGGAGAGCTAAAGAGAATGCCTTCTGTGAGGGTAGGATAGATGATTAAAGTTGGGAGAGGGCAGGTGATGGATCCTGCAAGTGCAGGAGGAGTTTGTGCTTTGTAGGCAAACCTCTGTGTTCTCTGCCTAGCCGTGCATCATCCTCATGGCTTTTACCAACTGTATTTCTGGGGATTACCAAATCTTGCTGGCTAGTAATTACTGGAGAAGTTCCTCGCATGCTGCCAAGTATGAAGTCCCCTGTTGTGATTTGGCAGAAGGTTAGAAATGTGTCCTTGTTACAGAATTGCCTCTGTTTGTAGAGTTGAGCTGGTACTAATTTGATCAAACGGAATAGGTGGTTTTCATTATTTCAAGGTACTTTACTGCACCCCGAGCAGAGTTCCCAATTGCAACTTTGCTCATATTTTGGTGACAGTAGTGTGGCAGCGGTAGTTCTGTGCCGCACATAGGCGTGGAAGACAGCACTTGGCCTTTGGCACTGTTTGTGTTTCACAGTGTGGGAACTTCAAAGTACTTGTCTCCCTGGTACAGTAGTACACCTTTGAAAATGCTAGAGTGAGTGGAATACCATTGTTGTTTAAAAGGCTTAAGACAAATCGTATCGATGGAGTAGTTCAGCTTGGAAGAGGGGTTTAGACATCCCGTCTCGCACTAAAAAGCAAGGCTAACTATTGTAGATCTCGCTGAAAGTACAGGTTACAAAAATATGATGATTGTTCCTCCCCACTGCCCAGAAGTGACAACTGCTAAAGTCACGCTTTGAAAAGTGTTAAAAATGTCTGCTATGAAAGTATTTTACCAAGCTCTTACTGAAGCAAGAGAAGATGGTGAAACCTTACTTGCTGTCTAACGTTCAGGTGACTTGTTAAAGTATTGCAGTTGATGCCTGCTTGAATCTGTGCAGCTAGCAAGCAGTAACTCCATATATTCTCGAGTTTCAGATGTAGTAATTTAGAACTCACTTCCAAATTAACTACTGTATGTGGCGTTTGTTTCTTTTGGTAGCTCTTACTGATGTTGTTTATTTAAAAGTTTAAAATGGAATGTATTTCTTTTTTTCCCCCCCTCAGTAACCAAAGTAAGGAGGCTTTCATTGACTGGGCAAGATACGATGATTCACAGGATCATTTTTGTGAACTTGATGGTAAAACGTTTAAGCTTTTTCAGAGTGTTTGTTTTATTTACTGTCTCTTAAAAACCACAAATTATTACAGTTTCTCTGCAAATAACCATTTTTGAAAAGTTTAAATTTTGTGCTAAGTGGAGATAAGACAATTCATATCATCTTACCTGCAAAGATGCACTTTTTTACAAGGAGCATTTGGTAGTCTACACAGGGCACATTCACTGTTTCTTCCTGTTAGTAGAGTGAACAGGAGACTTTTATGTAAATGAAAAAGTTAACGGGGGGGAGGTTAGCTGATTTGGTTTGATTTTTCTTTTAAAACTGCTTCTCACAGAACAGTTTCATCTAACAAATATAGGACAAGTTATTTGCAGCTGATTCAGGTTCTTACTACTGTATTATTTCTGTTGCTGTTCTACTGTCTGTGCTTGGACTGAGTTTGTTCTCCTTCCAGCCTTGCTGTTTCCAAATGATCTGTACTAAATTCACGCTTATTTGTAAGGACTTTCTTATTGTTAAAACATTAGGACGCTAGATTGTGTCTTACCTCCTTTCCACATATGTGAGGTTTTTTTATTGTCTTATAACATTCAAAGCTTAAAGGAATGTTTTTCAGGTAAATGTGAGAATTGCCAAGTTCAGGAACAATGGCTTAAGGGCATTTTAGTAAATACCTTAGAAAGCTTTCTATGCTAGGAAGACTTAGGGCCTAATACAAAATGTTTTAATCTACCTTTAGGCTAATGTTTAGTGTCACCTGGGAAAGTAGCAGCTGTGGTGGACTTGCCAACTGCGGTTATCTTTCAGCACCTCTGCATCTTATCTGTGAAAATTTTCTATATAAGCTGTTTCTGTAATACACAGTCGGTGAGTTTACTGTAGATCAGAACTGTTAGAAGCAATAAGCTGCTGTTTCTACTGTCTTCAAGCTGCCTACTTAGATTTTTAGGAGGACTCAGTTGGGAAAGGTGTAGTTCAGGAGCATTTCTTTTAGGAGTAGTAGTAACTTAAGTAGTTCCTGATTCTACCTCCATCTCTCCTTCCATCGTGCCCTGCTGAAGCAGGATGTACTGCCCCCAGCTGTCGTCTTCCAGTGCTTTCTTTGCACAGGCTTTGGCGGGCATCTTTCTGCACGGTGAGCTGATTCAGCTTACTTGAATAGCGGGGAAGGTAGGTTGACATGTCCCTCCCATCTCCCAGATTGTTGTGATGAACTGGCTTATCCAGGTGAGTCTGTGAGCTGGAGCAGGGAGAGGTGAGAGAGAATAACTCCTGGGAGTGACTGGGAGGAGGTAGAAACCCTTGTTCTCTTCCTCGTGGTGAGAGCGCTCTTAATTCGCTCAACTGTAGCACAAACCCATGTCATCAGTTTTACTTTTTACTAGCTTTTTGTTGGGCTTAATGGTAAACTAGATAAGGGAATTGATCTAGCTGAAAAAAACCTCATCACCCAGGTCAGCTTTCTGTCTTCCTGTTGCACTGCCCACAGACTTGATTGTATGTGGATAACAAGAAGAAAAAGTAGAGACCAGAAATGACCAGGAAGTGTAGGAACTGCTTGGGTCAGCCATGCTGTCAAATAAATAAATAAAGCTGTAATTTGCCTTTGACTCATCTGGCACTCGCTCTGTTGTTGTGTCTTGTGTCCGTTTGGGTTTGCTACTACTGCTGAAGCGATGCTTCACTGCTCATGCAGAATCATCTCTTCCTTTCAGAGCAGTTTTCACTTTCTGTTTCTGTGGCTTTTTCCAGCGTCTGAGGAAATCCTCAGTGGCACTGCTTGGCCTATTCATGTGAATAAGTCTCTGGACTACTGACTTGTCTGTGGGCTTTTTTTAAGCGTGAGTTGCTCTTGACCTAGAGTTTCAAAGAGGAGGAAATTCTTCCTGCTTTTTACTGCTGGTAGCTCAAACTTAAGTTTCAATCCGTGCAGAGTTTTTAAGCAGAGAGAGTACTGTTTCATGATTTTCTCTGGGTATGTTGCTTGAATTTGCAGGGAACATTAGAGAGGAGAGTTATAACTTGTTGAAATGCTGCTTAAATAACATATTTCTTGCCATAATGAGCAGAGTGTTCTGCAATATTCTGAAAGCTTGTTCAGTTAAGCAGTGCCATCCAGACTTACTGCTAGTAAGCAAGGGTATCTGGGAAAACAGGGATTTAGCAAACAAATGTATGATATGTACCAACTACAAGATGCACTTCTTTGACCTTGTCTTTATTAAGAAACCTCTGTAGCGGTACACCCATTTCAAAAAAACAACCCTCCCAGACAGATACTGCCGAAGAAACCCTGAATTTCAATCCCATTTAGAACAAAGCACTCCTTATGTCTTAGCACGCGGTGAGAGAACACTTTGCGTGACAGATGTTTATGGTGGATTCGAAGAAGCCACACAGGAGGTGTCCAGACATTGTAGGAATTATGGCCTCACAAGAGACTTAAGAGTAAATCAGATGCTAAGCAGAACGCCCAAAAGTGTGTATATTGCTGTATTTTTATGTACAAGGCATTTGTAATCCAACTGGAAGACAGAATAGTATTGTATGAGAGCTCTTATTTATATTTAATTCTGCACAACTGGTTTTTTTAAATCTTTTTTAACCGATGGGTTAGGATATGTAACGAAAGGTTTCCTGTTTAGATGAGAGATCTCCAGATGCACAGTATGTGGATTTGCTGCTGAATCCCGAACGTTACACTGGATACAAGGGGCCTTCTGCTTGGAGAGTGTGGAACAGCATCTACGAAGAAAACTGTTTCAAGTAATTGGGAGGGAGAGGAAGCCTATTTCTTATATTTTGTGCTTGAATTTAGGTTAAAACTGATTTTTGTGTTTTCTAACTTATTTTCTAGGCCTCGATCTGTCTATCGTCCTTTAAATCCACTGGCGCCCAGTAGGGGTGGGTCTTGCCTGTTTTATTTTCTAATGCAGTTCTTTTAACGTAGTGCCTGTTGTAGCACAAGTGATACAAGTAGTCGTCTTCAATCTGTAGGTGGTGTGCTTTCTGCTTTTTAAATTTCTTTTGTGCAAGTAGGTGTCCATTTTCAGTATTTGGACCAAGGTTTGTGGTACTTGATTGCAGACATGCTTGATGCTGTGCATATGAATAGGCTTAATGCCATGGGAGATGATGTGAAAACTAAAGTCTCAAACTGTTTAGTAAGCATCCCAGTAATTTTCCAGTATGGATGGGAAGGAGTTAAAGTTCAACAAAAATTTCAGCACTCTTGGGTTTGATTTTTCCCTTAGAGCATTAATCAGTTCAGCTCACGGTCATCCCAGTGAAATCTAACTGTACATTTTCCATCCATAATGTTTAGTGTAATACAAATGTACAAGTAATTGTTATTTGAAGAAGGAGTGGATACTTAGGAAGGCTCGGTTATCTGCAAGAATGTTAGGACAACAACGAAAAAAGCACGCCAATAACTTGGGGTTTAATTTTTCAAACTGAAAACTATAACCTGGTCTTCCAAATGAATCGCCTTTCCCCTGTCAGTGTGCCTCGTTTCCCTTAAAAATTGACTGTTACCCAATAGGTGGAGTTAGAAAACGTCACCACACACTAGAAAATCAAGATAGCTTTTAGTACTTACAAGTACTGAGATAATACATCGCTGGTGCACACAGATAAAAAGAGTTTGTAAGAGAAGTTTAACTTGGGGATCAGAGTTTTGGAAAGGAACACTGGACAGACTGTTGAAGAGGACAACTTCCTAACCATCTTTCTGAAGCTAAAACACAGCTTTCAAGAACATGTAAATCAGCTGCTACTAAGATTTCATGTTCCTAGTGAGTTACTCTGTTAAAATGTGTTTGGTCTTGGATGGTCTTGAGAAGTAGGAGGATGGAAGGTAGCCTATTCTTTTGTAGATTAAATAAGGTTTCTTGCGCTTTTTCAGTATTTGTAGTTAAAGCCTGTGTTTCGTGATTACTTTCCTGTAAAAATTACCTTTTTAATGCTTATGGATTTTTTTTTATTTTTTTCTTAAGGGGGAGATGATGGTAAGTCATCTTATTTTGCTTGACTTGCAGAAATGAAGTAAGCATTAAAGATGTTTGGACGCCTGATTTATTCACTTTATTGCTATTGCATTAGAGGGCAGGAAAGTTTCATCTGTTTTTATGCAGATGATTGAACAGAAAATGTTTTTGTTGGGATAATTCTAAAAAAAAAGAGTGGATAAGAACAATTACAGTTTTGTTGTTGGTTCTTGTCCTTGTAACAGAATACGGGTTGTGATAATGTTATTAGCGAGATAACCAGAGATGCCTAAATTAAGAGATTCTTGGGTCTTCTTCAGAGCCCCATTGATACTGATGTCAGATTCCTTAAAAGAGGGACGGGTGTTTTTGTACTTTCTTGAATGTCCTTGATTTTAGGAAGGTGGGGGGAAAAATCATTTGGTCTGTCTACAGTGAGATAAACTTTTACAGGCAACTGAAAGCTCTCAGGCGAGAGGTCTAAGCCTACAGGGAACCTTCCGAGAGCAGCAGTCAGGGTGAAGGCAGCCAGATACAATTTATACTCTCTGTCATGTCTTTCAACACTAGTGCATATAACCAGGCTTGTGCTTCCATACATTTCTGGTCAGGGCATTTAGAAGCTCAGTTATGCTCATTCTCGTATTTCATCTATTCTGACCCCAACAGATTTAAACTAACCTCAAATTTCAGCTGCTTCAGTGCCTATTCTCACTTTAATAGCTAAATTTATTTAGCTTTATTTCCAGCTGGCAGCTAATGATAGTTTGCATAGTAATATGAAGATCCTGTAATGGTGGAAATGAATACTCTTTGTTTAACTATATACTTTGTATTTACAGGAGAATCTTTCTACACATGGCTAGAAGGTAAAGGCTCTTGGATGAGTTAATGTAATATTACATTCGCCAAAAGCAGCACTGTACTATTTTTTTCATCTTCCTAAATATTTTTCAATACCAGTTACTTTGAATTTTCTTCTCATTATAGGCATTTAAGCAGGGACGTTGTTAGTAGTAACATTGCCGAGTGTTTCTATTTGAAAACAGCTATAAAAAAACCCAACATTAACGTTTCTGATAGTTCTGTTCCCTGTATATAAACTAACATAAGTATAATGTGTGTTCAGAAGGCAAAGCAATTTTCTTTTTATTCCTACTTAAATGGAAATTATTATGACAGTGGTAGCAATTAAAATCACACTTTGGAGGTGTGCAGAAAAGTAAATCAGTTAATGTAGGGAGGCTCTTCAGAG